CCAACAATGAGTAACTGTACTGTATCCCTAAAATGTACCAATAAACTCAATTAAAGCTGAAAAAAAAAACTAGTCTCTTAATGAGACATAGACACCCTTAGTTCCTTTACAAATATGCTTTTGACATTCAGAATTGATATGTAGGTTTCTAAACTGACCACTTAACTTTGTTGCCTTAAAATTTATTCCTGTCCCTTTGTACAAGATGCTGTAGATCCTTCTGTCATACATTCATACCAGAAATTAGGTAGAACACCTAGACTGAAGCCATCCTGCCATGACTTAAGGCCTTGGGGAGCCCTACTGTAGATTCCTAAGGAATCTGCCTTCAAGCAGAGGAAGACGATTACCACCACTGCAATGGTGCCCACACAATAAAGTCCTACAAGAAGTTTTGCAGTAATTGTTGACCCTCAACAGAACTATTGCTGACTTTTCCCGTGACACTTTAAAAAGAAGTTTTTATTCATTTCCACTTTAAACTCACACTTAATCTGTTGTGCTTGCCACAGAAAAGTATATAGCCTGTTTTTGTGAGATTATTATTTTGTAATTCCTCAATCTGATTTAGTCCAAAGCCAAACACCTAAGAAAGACTTCTGAATTCTTCTAGGTATTTAGCTCAGCACCAATGATGAGCTCTGGGCTTAAAATCTAAATCCCGTTCCTGTCTCTGCCACCTACTGTCTGAAGGAACTTGTCTTTCAGCCTTAACCAGTTCATCTATAAAACACTGGCAATATCCATGTCATTGATTTGTTTGAGAATGAAATGAAATCAAGTATTGGTATTTACCGCAAACTGGCATAGAGTAAATAATTTGGAAGTGTTAGCAGTTTCTATTCAAGTCATGTATTTTGGCTACCACTCTATGCAAATAATTTTATATTAGATAATTATGATTTTTATTCTTATACAGGGATCTATAAAACACTGGCAATATCCATGTCATTGATTTGTTTGAGAATGAAATGAAATCAAGTATTGGTATTTACCGCAAACTGGCATAGAGTAAATAATTTGGAAGTGTTAGCAGTTTCTATTCAAGTCATGTATTTTGGCTACCACTCTATGCAAATAATTTTATATTAGATAATTATGATTTTTATTCTTATACAGGGATATATAAAACATACTTACCGTATCTGTGTTGATATGTGCAAAAGATGGAACATTAAATATCCCTTGGATCAATTCTGGTGGGCTACTTACTCCCAACCACAGGAACATGTTTAGTCCATTGGCCAGAAGGAATATTCCTTCCTCTGAAAGTCGAGACTCTGAGCAACGAAGAGCAGCAGGTAACGTTGTACTCTTTACATCTAATGTGTGCTGTGTGGGCAAAGATGAGAATTAGAGATTTCTCCCCTCCCTCCTTTCTTTCCTCTCTCTTTTACTTTCTCCCATTCTTTTTCTTCAAATGCATTTGTAGTTAATGCTTACTATGTGCCAGACATTGTTCTAGTCATGAAATACAAATCTCTGTGCCTTGTGCAACTAGTGGTTTTCTGAAGGCAGGAAAAGGTGGAACATAAAAGAAATAAAATACATAGAATTGTAAGTGCTTTTAGGAGCTATGAAGGAGCACCTGTGAAGATGAGGAGGGAGACTGTATCCTGAGTTCAAAGCCAGCTTGGCTACATAGTAAGTTCAAGACCAACCTGAACTATACAGTAAGACTCCCCTGCCCTCCAAATAAGAAGAGCCATGAAGGGTAGAAACAGAAAAGTGGGATGGAATGCATCAGTGGTGGGGGAGTGGTGTTTTCTTAACTGCGAGTTTTAACTAGGAAAGTCCAGTAAGGCTGAGTGGAAAGGTAACTTTTGAGTAAAGACCTGAGGAGGAGAGAAAATGAGCTGTGGGGATCTTCAGGGAAGGGCATTCCAGGTAAAAGAACAGTAAAGGGGAGAGAGACTAGAAGCCAGGGAAGAAGGCATTTCAAGAGAGAGTAATAAACTGGGTCAGATGCTGTGACGGGTCAGCAAAGAGGCCAGAATTTCAAGCACACACAGAGAAATAAAGAAAAGATGATTGGTAGCTGCTTATTGGATTTAGCAAGAGGTGAGCAGTGGTGGTTTTGTCGAAGAATTCCAGTGAAGTGGTGATGTTCTTATCCTTTAGAGTTTGGGTTTCTCTGGCCTACAAATTGCTGGTGATCTAATTTTATCTGCAATCAATTATTTTAACTTCTAACCTTCACATTGAAAAGAATGAATGACTTTTTTATTTTCAACCTAACTTAAGACTGCTTAAGACGTGCCTTATTCTTCCTAAGAGCCTGAGGAGGATTCTGCGTACATCCCAACAGCCTTCCTCACTCCCTTCCTTCAGCTGTAACCTGTCAGGTCCCAGGGAAAAAGAGCCTGGTCACAGAGCACAGGGGCACTTGAGGCATCAAGGATTGACTTCAACAAAGTAAAGCACATTGCCATATCAACCCCCTGAGAAAGCGCAGTCGATCCTCTTGTACAGTATGGATATCCTCAAACATATGCTCATCTAAACCCGACTCCACTGAAGCAAGGCTAACTCTAAGCAATCTGATTAAATGTGGTGACTGTCAGACATTACTGTATTGTATAAACAGATACATGTGTGCAGATGGGATCCCACCCCACAAATGTAGCCTTTAATTATGCAGAGTTCATCAACAACTGAAACTTAGTTTGCTCCAATTTGTTTACAGATCTCCATGTGTCTACCTAATTAAAGTCTACCAATTTGGAAATGAGGAAAGAGAAGCCATCCTCTGAACAATTCGTTGAAGTAGGAGCTCCTGATTCCTTCTCCCACCACAGTGACTGCATGTTGGTGCACACACACTGCTTGTTCAGGGGGGCTGGGCTCTAAATCCCATTTTGAAGTCATTTATGACTCTGACTTTCTTAAGAACAAAAGGTTTAGATACAACGTGGAAAAGCACAAAAGTGGACTCCTTTCCAGACTCCTCTAGGAAATGCTCACTATCGGCAGGAGTTGTGGGTAGAAGAAAAGCTGCGAGTCAGCCACACCCATGGTCATGACCAGCTGTCTCTGGTACGCCCGCTCGTCTGTGGAGATCTCTGGTCTACTGAGCAGCACACAGTTTTTTAACAAACAATTCATGTACACTGGAAATATTTTCATGGAATCTGGGAGAATAAGCTGAAAAAAAAAAGACATTTGTTTCATATACTTAAGCTTACTAAGAAAGATCCCCTGAATTTTGAATTTGATCTATAAACATCATTTTCTTTTGCAGTTGTGAAGATATGCGCTCCTCTCCATCCCACTTTAGCTCACAGGTCCTCATACAACTGCCTTGAAGTGCATCCCATAATGACACACTACAATATTACACAATGAGCAAGTCTAAAAGGCAACTTGACAGTTTAAAACATGCTAGACAACAGCCTTCAGGTTGGAAACATTCTAGACAATAGCCTATATTATTAATCTTTGGTCAAGTCCATGTCCTAAGAATAGCTAATAATCAGATCAAGTGTTACTTCCTTCCTTTTAATAGCACAGGTCAAAGAAAATATCCTCTCAAATACACAGAGAATCTAATGATACTTTGCAAACATTCCTGAACCACTAGTGTATAAATTCATGATTTCTTCTTAACTGTATATTTCAATGATGAAAAAGAATGTAGACTTAGCAGAATCCACTCTGAAAAAATTTTCATCAAGGCTCTACTGGATTTATTCATCGTCTTAAATCCCTTTACATCATAGGTCTTTTATCATGATCTACTAAGTATAAGGTACATGTAAGGCACAACTTGCCAACTGATTCCAGCAAACATATATCCTCTCAATTTTTCATTTTTTGAAGAGTCAAAGATTAGTCAAACACAAGGGCCGGGGATTTAGCTCAGTGGTTCTACCACCTGCCTTGCAAGTGCAAGGACGTGAGTTCCATTCCCAGTACCAGAAAAAAAAAAGTTGTCAAACACATTTCCTCATAAAAGAACAGTTTTTCTAACTAATTTTTTCTCTAGCATAACATAGTTTCATTTGACAACATTTAGTACCATATTACTTTCTCATCCAAGGATAACTATAATCCACAGACATGTAATCCCCTAGTTTCTCTACAATTAAATTATTTTTGGAGAGGAAACGTATAAGTTAGGAGGAAACAGAAATCCATGTCTCATTTGATTGAATTTGGAAAACTGTGTTTTGAAATGACAGTAGTAATAAACAACAACACTCTTACTTTGTTGTTCAGTTGTTTGAGTTGCCTCTTGAGGTCACTGTACTCCCAAATAATGTAATAAGTTTAAGCTCACAACTGTGAGCTATTAGATTTAAAGTAAAAAACTAACCCTCCTTATCTGAGCCTAAAATTTGGTTTACTGTTTTTCTGGTCAGGATATAACCTAGCATCTACTGTGTGATTCTCAGAGTGGGCGCTTCATTAAATTGTGTACCCTAAGTGCCTTCTCTCGCCTCCCCCAGTATCAACTCTGGCAGCTCTGCTGAGGGCCAGCATCACATAATCAAAACATGTGCCTCCTGGATGGCCTTGCTTGGGTCAAGGAAACTGTGGGCTTTATGGTAAAATAGTGGTTGTCCTTCAGGAATTTCTCCACAGATATTATATCCCTTAAGTGAACTATAGGAAGGTATTTGGTTTGTAGTTACATTTTCTGAAGAGATCTTAAATTCCAAGTATCCTATGTTTCAATTCCTGATTTTAAATATAGCATTATTTCTACCAACTCTAAATTTTTTAGATCCCACAATGTCATCTAAGTCATATCATTTAAAAAATATCATTGGTTGAAGGTGTACTTGAAATGTGCTAATGGAGAAAAACACTCTCACTGTAAGAAAAGAAATAATTTCTATTCATTCATCAAGAAAGTCTGCCACCATGGTTTTGCTTGAGAATAATTAAACCATATAAACAGATGGCCTAGTTGTAGAGACAACACTTTTAACTTTTGAACCAGAAGGAATTGATAGATTTCACTATTCTTTCCCTTAAATAGGCAACAGATCTGTTTTTCTCTTAAGGTTTTGAGTCTAATCATTTTAACATGAACAAACAAATTTCCAGAGAAGACACAAACTGAACCTGTTCTACTTCAACTAATCCTTCTGAAGGGTGAGACACTCCAGAGACAGAATAATGTCTTCCAGAACTCTAAAGCAAATAATAATAAAACAGGGAGCAAAATCTTCTGATTGGGTGATATCCAGGCTGGACTCCAGATGCACCTGGTGGGCTCTGTGTACTTTCAACAGCCCACGGTGTGACAGTACTGGTAGTTGGGTTTACTAAAGTGGCACATTTTCTGAATAATAAAGACAACAATACAGTACTCCTATAGATTCAAAATTTGCTTAGAGAATTATCAACACAGAAGATGAAGAAATGGAAGACATTTGAACAGCACAGAAAGGAACATTTATGAAAAGTCCAATTAAATAAATGCTTTTATTTTTCTTCTGTTCCAGGATTATGAATTTGGACCCTAAATTTATCTACATTCCTACTGAAGCCTTCCTTCTAGTTGGGCTTTCAGATGTCTTCTCAGTAACTGCTTTTGACAATGAATGGACCAGAAATATTTTCATTGGTTGTTCACCATCTTCTCTTTCAATCAAAATTCAATACTTAGATATTCTATATGAGACTATGAAAAAGAGCATCTACTTTTATTAACATAAGAAAGAAAATGAATAGGAAAAGGTATGCAAATATAAATGTGGATTTCAGATTTTGCATTGTTTTTTAGTAGTTTAAATGAGGCTCATTTAAAAGTTTTTCTAAAATTTCAAATCACTACATGATGGCCAGACACAATTCATTCATACCTATTCATAACTTTTAAATACATAGACTTCCAGTATTTATATTATATTTATGTTTATAAAATACAATGTTATTACTGCCATCAGCTCATCAAATTTGTTAATATGCCTAAAATGTAGCTAAGCATATACATTTCACAACAAAATATCCATGACTATATATAAAAGAGAATCTTGTTTTGACACTTCTTACATATAACATACTTTTGTTTATACGGAATGTAATGACTGTCAACTGAATATGTATACACATTTTTTGGTTCAGGCACTTTGTAAAACCCAGGTTTTTAACATCAGCTATAAAATATCACAGCTCCCCAAAAACTGTGTTCTCAATCTTCTTGGCTGTATAGTTGGCTGGAAAGCATCTGAGTGCCTGCAGCACCCTCAGCCTCACTAGCTACGTGCTGAAACAACATGCAGTGGTTTTTAACATTTTAACACAAAGTACCTTATGGAGCTCACCTGGCTCACAGCAGATGGACTTGCGCAATTTTTTCGGTAACATGCCAACATATGGGCAGTCTGATTAACTAAAATTTCCCGGATGACCTTCAAAGGCTGGTGTAACACCGCTTTAAAGGCTGTGTGCACAAAACCATTATTAAAAGAACATCAAAAATTTAGAAACTGATCTCTTCAAATAAAAAAAGAACAAATTACTATTATGTTCAGGCATTCCAACAAGAATAGCAGGACTTAAAAGTGTTAAACTTATTTGCTAATAGTCCACTATTGATGAAATATGACATCTGCCAGTGGAGAACAATGGCCTACCTATAGCAAAAGGTTATACTGGCTCAGATGTATCTTTATGATATTAGATAAGGAATTCTACAAACAAAGAAAAGAAAAGTATCTTGTCGTTTTCTGATGTTCTGAATTCCTAGAGGCTGATGTACTACTTCTTTCACATTTTAGTGTAGAATCTCAGAAGGAAAGCAAAGAAAATTCTGCCTTGGGACCCATCCTATTTCACACTTACCAAGGTATGGGTAGTTGAGGTCAATTCAAGGTCATGGATAGTCTCCTTCCATTTTGCACCTGTGCCCAGGGGCACACTCATATGCCATAATAATAGCTTAGAAGTACTTTCCTAAATTTCAACTCCAACTCCCCATTAGGAAATAAATTTGTATAGTCTGGTACTGTATTGTACTGAATCATTCTATTTATTAATCTAGTGTTAGAGACTTTAAAGCACCACAGTACCTTTTAGACACTGACTCAGTTAACCAACAAGTCTTGACTGAATTTAAGCAAGGTTTACTTAACTACAAGCTTAGCAAAGTGTTACCTGACTTGGCAAAGAAGTTGATAAGGGCATCTGTCTCACAGCTCTTGTAAAGATCAGCTAACTGGGAACTACAGTTTAAGCCAAGATTGTGAATTCGAAGTCTTCTTTGGCCACCAATGGTTGTGTAAAGCACAGCGCACTGCAGAAATGACATTGAGGTCATATGATTTTCCTGGTCAACACCAATGCCATATCCAACCAGGCTAGCCTGATCTTACTTGAATTTACAAAACAGTATGCACAGATAAAAGATCTTTAAATTTTTCTACAGACCTTTTCCATTATTTATTATCATTGAAGACTGAACAACCACAAGGAGTAATAATGATCAATTCATTGGCTGGGTTTCTATGTAGCATTTCACTGGTTTAAATTATTGGGCTACTCACATGCAAATATCTGTTCACAGATTCACTTATCTTAGATTTTACTACCACGGATCAGGTCCAGAAATAATACCGTAAAGTATTTATAACCCTACCCAAGGTCACTTCCCTTGAAAACATATGACTATTCTTGGTCAGATACTGAGGTCTTATGTTGACAACATATACATTTAAAGAATACAGAGACACAATCATTATTCCAAATGTCTGTGGCTAAAATATACACATTAACGTTCTCAACTTACAACCAACCTCTCTCCACCGTTTAAGTGTTATAAATTAAATCTGAGGTTTTACCCAAAGCCTCATGTGTTCAAAAGTGGGGCTTTTGGAAGGTGATTGGATTATGGGGTGCTGCACTCATCACTTCATTGAGCCACGGAAGAATCAAAAGCTGCATGTGGGTTAGGATTTGGGGCTGCGTTCACAGAGGCGAGTCACTCCTTCCCTCTCTTTACTTTCTGGCTATCATGCCTTGAACTTCTTCTCTTTTTTTTTTTTTTGTACCTGGGATTGAACTAGGGACCTTGCACTTGTGAGGCAGGCACCAGAACCACTGAGCTAAATCCCTGACAGAACAGCTTTTCTCTGCCAGACTCTTCTATCATGATGTTTCTACCCCAGAGTCAGCGACTATGGATGGAATCTTCTAAAATGGATGAGCGAAAATAAACCTCTCCTTCTTTAAGTGGTGTGTGTTGCTACCAAATAGTTTCTCTGGTGTGAAAACTAAAAATGTACATAAGATCCAAATTGTATAACTGACAATGTGAAATGGGAAGAAAAAGGCTAAAGGTGTAGGGGAAATGGGAAGGGTAGGGGAAAGGGAATAAGGGAAAAGAAAAAAATGAGAAAAGGAAAAAATGGAAACAAAGTCTTTGTAAATAGGGGAGGGGGAGGGGGTGAAGGGAGGACAGGGGCATGGGGAAAAAATGAGAACCAAGACCTGTCATGTAAGGGTACAAGATCCCAATGACGAATGTAACTATACTGTATACCTAAAAAGTAAAGTTGTGTGTGTCAGATATTGTATCGCAGCAATGAGAAAGTGACTAAAATGGATACTGATATCTAAAAACTATGCCCAGTAGAAATATGAATTACTGTTTTAATTAAAAATCAACATGGCCAAAAAAAAATTAGCAGGGGATTTAGCTCAGTGGTTCCACTGCCTGCCTCAAAAGTGCAAGGTCCTGAGTTCGATCCCTGATACAAAAACAAAAACAAAAACAAAAACCAGCATGGCTTCTCATTAATTTCATTTATTACAAAGCCAAATCCTATTCCACTTGCTTATGATATAATGAAGTGCTTTATATGATGTTATGGGCTGAATTGTGACACTCCAAAATTCATGTTGAAATTCTAATCCCAAGTTCCTCAGAATCTAATTGTATTTGGAGACTGGGTCTTTAAAAATCATTAAAATGAGGTCATGGAGGTGGGCCCTAATCCAGCGTGACAGGTGTCCTTATGAAAAGAAAACTCTTGGACTCAGACATATAACAGAGGGAGACCATGTGAAGACATGGAGAGAAGACGTCTTTAAGCCGGGAGATACCTGAAACAACTCCTTCATTCAAGACCCCAAGAAACCTTAGTCTTGGACTTTAAGCTCCACAACTGTGAAAAAATAGTTCTGCTGTTGAAACTGTCCTTGTGTGGTAAGGGTGAATGTTCACCAAAAGAAGTGAACAAATATGGAAAACCCGCTTTTCCATGCTCATCGTGCCTAACACAAGCTTTCTGGGTCTATGTGCAGTGACATTACGATTGTTATGTCACAGGGGTGGCACATTTGCATCAGATACTGGGAAACCACACACAGGAGTTCTCCGACCAGTGACTTCTGCCTTTGGAGAGTTGACTTTTTCATGAAAAGACCAATATCTTGGTAGAACTGTTTTAGACTAGCCACAGATTACTGCAAGAAACTAAAAAGCAAAAGACGAGAATAAATATGAAATCACCTGGATTAGGGCTCCACTGTCTTCATTCAGCTTGTCATCATGCTTGAACTCTACAGTCACTGCCTTGTCACAATCAATGGCAGCCATTTCCACATCAGTGGTGTTGTTCATGAAAACCCCACCAAAGAAATCAGTGGCTCTGAAGCCTAAAGAAAAGGAAACAGGGGAATTTTGTTTCTCCAGAGTTTGCTTTTATTTTCTTTCTTGTTTTGTTATTTAATTCGAAGAGAGAACAAGTACACAAAGAGACCTGAAAGGGGAATAAATGATAATTACCTGTGCTGGTACGAACTCTCATAATAGCATCAAAGCCTATTTTCTTTTCAATGTCATTTCTGAGGTCGCTCAAAAATTGTTGGCTATCCAAATGCATCTAAAAAGTAAAGTATGATCAGTGCCCACCAGATGGCAGTAAAATACTTACAATAACAATTCTTATTTTTAAACCTGACAAAATCATTGTTTTTTTTTAAATCTCAAATTAGCATATTATATGCATAATCTATGTTTCTTTGGCTAAGAAAAATACTGACTCTTTGGGCAGTGATTCTTAAATTTCCAAGTGAAACACATCTTTTATTTTCTTCCATTTTCATAACCTTTGACTGGGAAAATAAGGACTGATTTTACTTTCCAACTGAGGAAACAGTATAAATTGATCCCCTAAGAGGCTCAAGGTGATAGACAAGACTAATGGCAACCCAAACAGCTCACTTAACAAACCTGAAACTGCGGGTTCTTTCATCTGACCACGTGCAGAAGCCGAGTCAGAGGACAATTCATGCACTAGTAAAAGCCCTTTCTCTCTGCCTTGTTTGTTAGGTACTCTGCTATCACTGCATTCCTGAAAGCTGCTCACAACTATGTCCCATGTGCAGCACTGCTTATCTGGGCGAGAAGACCCACTAGCTCAGAAGCAACTTCTGAAGCTGCTGGTAAGACCTTGTCAGGGAGTTTCTTGCTTTTTTTTCTTTGTGGTGGTACTGAGGATCGAACCGAGGTCTTTCACACCAAGCTATATACCCAGCTGGGTGGGTTTTGCTAAAGTGCCCAGTCTGGGCTAGAACTTGGGATCCTTCAGCCTCAGCCTCCCAGGGTGCTAGGATACAGGTATATGCTACCAAGTCTAGCTTGGGAGGCTCTTAAAGAAATTCTCATCACACTTGACAGTAGGAGAAAGGCAGATACACACATCCGTTTCAGTCCCCCAAACACAAAGGGAAGGAAGGAATAAACAAAACAGGGAAAAATAGTCTTTATAATAAACTTGAGTTGTTTACATCCAACTGGATGCCTGCAAAGCTCTTCACCATCATTTTTCTCATTTCTTCCTTATTATTGAGAAAACATTATTAAAATTTTTGCTTTCAAAGTAGAGAAAGAAATGCCATTGTAAGGATTCAGTTTTACGACAATGTGCGGTAAATGCATAGCCAAAATGAACACACTTAATACTCTTGGGTTATAAAGTATTTTACTCCCTGGTTTATATCTTAGCAAGTTTTCCTCTGTTAGATTACAACAGCATTTTTTAATAGTAACACTGAAAAGAATTAATAATAACCATCAATGTTGAAGTGCAGTATATCTGTTGCACTAGAAACTACACAGTATTACTTTGTAACTCAAAGACTTCAAAAGTTTCCCTTGCTGGGAAAGGAGCTAACACTGGTCAGCATGGAAAGACTCTCTGTGCCTCAATATATAAGATTTGGGCAGAATGGGGGAAAACACTAAATTTTATGATTATTAAGAGCTTATAGCATACTTAAAAAGACACGTTTATCCAGAAGTCTTGGGAATGGTTCTTAAAGCTTTATTGTAAAAATTAACTCATAATAGGTTTCAGTATGCCATTTCCTTCTATGTATATGTTGTACTTTAAATCACTTCCATCTTCCTTATTACCTTTTCTTGCCCTCCCCTTTAAAACTTGTTCCTTTTTTTTTTTTCATTATTTTTAAACTGGGTCTTGCTTTGTAATGCAGGTAGACTTTGAGGTAGCTGTTTTAGGAGTCCAAACTGGCTTCAAACTTGTGATCCTCCTGCCTCAGTCTCCAAAGTGCTGGGATTACTACCCACCTGGCCAATAATTTTTTGTTATTGGCAATGGTGGAGATTGCACCCAGCACTGTGCATGGTAGATAAGCTCTCTACCACTGAGCTATATCCCCAGCCCAACTTTAAATCTGTTTTGAATGTATTTCATTTGATATCTTTGGTCTTATTCTTTTAATTAGTTTATAATGTAGATACATATAATTTTATCTGATAATTAAAAATAGATAGTGATTAAATACTAGTCATTTACGTTGGGTGAGTGCCCCTTCTGGCTCCTGAGCCACATGGAGATGCAAACATAGGAGGCGCATGTTAGACTATTGGATTAGTACGTCTGGGGAAAGGAACTGGCTGGGCGTAGCTCAGTCTCTTCAGGTCCTCTGTCTGGGGAGGTGGCCTGCCTGCACTGTCTGCCCCTCAAGATGGTAAGCTTTCAAGTATTGTCTGTAGGAGAATCAAGTGACTGCCCACCCTGGATCGGGCTGTCTGTTTGTCAAGTTCAGGAATGACACATTAGGAACCCACTTCCTACAGACCGAAGTTGCTAGAGCACTGACATTCTGATCACCTCCTGAATCTCTCCCTTCATTGAAAAGTGGAATAGAGGGGTGTAATGAATTATTCACCCCAAATTCCAATAACTTGAAACAAATTATAGCTACCTTTTCAAACATTATTTTAAACTTACTTTATATGTAATGGCAGCTTACACTGCTAACTCTCTGGCTGAATGAGACTCTTAGCCAGCGTGAACCCCCTAAACACATACACAGGGTAAGGTTTCCAGGGCTCTTAAAGTTGAATTTGTCAGGTGCTCAGAAGGGGGCACATCTTTCTTAACTCATGGATCTAAACATCAAAATTAACACTGGACAAAACAGAGAAAAATAAATGGCTATTGTTTACCTGGAAATTGTTGTATTTGTAAAGCGTTCCTCCAGTGAGCTGAGGGACAAGACCCAAAGATGCCACATCCACATACTGACTGGGGAAGAGGAAAATAGTCACAGAGCAGCCGTGGGCCACACACTCCTTTGCCAGAGAGTCATAGACACTGGTTTGGGGCTGGAAAAGTATCTGAAGCAAAAGGTGCAAGAAAGGAAAATGAAAAATTACAAAGTACTTTCAGTTTAAAATGAAGTTTCAAACTGAGTTCTCATTGAAAATTTAAAATGGCAAAACATACATTTTCCAGTTAGGTGAACAGGGCTAAAGAAATATTCATATGCATTTCATTTTATTTGATCCTCAGCAACCATAATGGAGCTGACATTTCTATGCTGCCTTACAGAGCCAGAGGACGACTTGGTGTGACACCTCAAGGCCAGTGCATGGTCTGATTCGGCCTGTGGACTCTCCACTTCCGCTCCACTGTCCCAGGTCAGAGCAGAGACACATTGGGAGCCCTGAGCCTGTACTTTGTGCTACAGGTCTCTGCCTGGAGGGGATGTGGTCATAAAGCTGGACGGATGATGTTCTCCTTCCACACCATCTTCTTTCTGCACCCTACCTTCTAACTTCTCTAACATTTTCATCACTCAGTATCTCTCATACAAATTATATATTAGAAAACATGGGGCTTTTATTTTAATTTAGATATTCCCAGTATCAGTTTTTCTAGAAATATAAAATTTCTCCAATTATTTAAAACCCCAAACATTCCCAGATTTGGCCTCCCCCTCCTTTTTTTTTTTTTTTTTTTTTTTCT